GCATTCTTGTACTGCTTATTTCTCACAAAGTGATTTTCTGTGCATGGATTCGTTGGATTTTCAAAATTAGGCTTTGAGGCAGGTAAAGCAAGTTTTGTTTTCATCCCAGCTCTCAGGCCCTGCCTTGCACCCATGGAGTGGCACTCAGGGGGTGCTATCCATGTAGCGTGCGCCCCAGAGTCCTGCAGAGCAGCAATACTGCGGCCTTTCAGAATAGGAAATTGAAGCCCAGAGAAGTTAAATGAGTTGTCTAAGGTCACACAGCAGAGGAGAAAAATGGTCTGATTTTTAAGTCAGGTTATGACCCCAAGTATTCTGTGCTTTCTCCTACACAAGGTCACACTGTGTGGCCTTGGCTACAATATATACAGAAAGACTGTGACAGGGTCAAATTCTCAGTGCCAACCTTCCTATCTAATAGTGGGCTCTGGGGTCTCTTGACCTCAGGATCCTAGGAGATCATCGGAGAAAGTCCTCACTGTGCCATAGTGTGATATGGCACATGGTGACGCAGTCTTGTTCTAGATGTGCTGTTCTCAGGACATTACTTTGTGGAAAGGAAATGCCTGCACATCCAAGCAAACCAGGCCCGTGGAGCCAGCGACCTCCTCCTCCTCCTCCGTACGATCGGCTTACATGAATATTCAGTCACCAGGACCCCTAAAATTCTACTGGATCTCCCACCTGTGTTGTCATCTTATCACAATCCATGGTCTGTGCCAAAAGCTACATTTCAGTATTAGAGAAAGGCTCGGAGTTTGAGGAAAGTGACAGAAATATTTATTAAAGTGGTGCACTTGGACTCCATGCAAAATGAAAAAGAGACTCCCTCATATTCACTAATCCCCAAACAAAATAACCATCAAGAAATATTAAAACACACATTTTATTAGTTTCATTTAATTTCCTAATTGCTCAAAGTCAGCTTACCCATTTACTGCTGTGTGAAATGCTTAGAGGCAAGGCGCACATTAAAGGGATTATTTCCATGTAATCCCTCCCTCCCAGAGGGTAGGAACTGATCACTTATGAATTCTGATTTACTCTCTGTAACAATATCAAATGGAGGAAATAGTTATTGTAAAATGATAGAGTCAGGAGCAGGGTAATACAGTAGGAGAGTGTAATTCAATAGCAGAGAGAAAGTACCTCATTTTCGGTAAAACTTATGCGAGCCTTTTTCAGGAATAGCTATTAACCAAACTGAATTTAGCCTCCCGTTTTTCTGGCTATACCTCTGTTAATTGATAGATGGTGAAGATGTGTAGCCTGTTAAGATTTTAATCAAATAGGGCCTGGGAGTGGATGTGCTCATCTTCCCGGGACTTGGAGATCTGGGGATAGTAATTGCCCTGGGATTTGGCTCTCTGTGACAACCCTCCTTCTCGCAGGAAAGGGTGCAGGCATTCTGGTGGAATTTGGAGGCGTGAAGCAAATTGCACAGGAAAGGCGATGAGGTAGGAAGGCGTTTTAGGTAAATATCCACCGAGAAACTGTGGCCCCCTGAACTGGCGGTTCCTGTGGCACATCATCGCTGGCCCGTGCAACTGCCGAGGACTGGGAAACCCATTAGTGACCCGGGGAAGAGCTTTTCCTTGTTCTGTTGCTGATCCATCTCTTCCTGTCATTGTACCTATAACCCCACTACACTAGTTTAGGAGCATGATTGCTATTCTTGGAAGGAAGGAAGCGCTATAGCATCAGAGGAGTACAGAGGTAAGGCCGATCCTTAGCAGCAATTTCTGGCCCCTTAGCACCGAAATAGGCAGTTTCTCCATTTCAGGATGAGCCCCCTCTGATATTTCCTATTCATTCTCTACCTTCAGACTCAGCCTGATACAAAGAGCCCACAAAATAAAACATTTTAAAGCCCTCAAGGAGATTTGTACCATGAATTTTATTAGATTGAAGGCAAAACAAGCTGATACCAGCAGAAAAACAAAATGGCCGCTGCAGACCCCAGCTGACCTCTTTTGCGTGGAAAATTCTCCATATGATTACAGAGCTAATGAGTAATATTTAATGAAAACATTATGCCTTTGCATATATTTGTAAGCAGCACTTCTTCCATTTAAATTTACATAGAAATAAGCTGGTATGTAAAAATACGCATCTTGGGAATCTGTGTGCTTTAAGGAAAACACTCATCTGCTGTCTCTGGCTATTTCTATACAAAGCTCCAACTTCTCAATAGAAAACTGGAGAATTCAGTCAATCATCCGGCTGACACCCAACATGTGAGCATTTGATGATGCGTGGATAAAACAGCTGAACTCAAGGCAGACTCACCCACATTTCACAGGATGTTTGGGCTTTATGCAAACAACAGTGTTTGAGAAAAAACTGTCCTAAACAATTGCTAAATAAATACATGTGAAAAAAAATCTTTCTCTTTCAATTTCCAGAATCCTTAAGCATTTGAGGATAATGACTTCGAATCAGGATTGTTTCTGGGGGCTGCGTATCTTTCCTTTTCTGCTCAGAATCTGAATCACAGTGGTCCTGAATATGACATTGAAAGCCTGTGACACCTCTCTTTCCCACTCTTTCTCTTCCCCCTGTAGGTGGAGCTGACAGGCAGCAGCGTCTTTGACTATGTCCACCCCGGGGACCACGTGGAGATGGCAGAGCAGCTGGGCATGAAGCTCCCACCTGGGCGGGGTCTCCTCTCCCAGGGTACCACTGAGGACGGAGCCAGCTCAGCATCTTCCTCCTCCCAGTCAGAGACCCCCGAGCCAGGTGGGAATTGCAATCCCAACGTGTGGGTTGGTGGGCAGGACCTTTGCCAATGATTGCACACAAGTTGCCAGTGTGAAGAGATTATAAATAGGTTTAATGGTATTTAACAATTCCATGCAGCTTTCTGTCCCAGGCAGTAATTAAATAAAGAAGAGATTTGAAAATAAGGAGACAGTCTAATAAGTATAATCCAGGGATCTGATTTCAGTTGAACAATAAATATAGAAGGCACTAGTGCCTTTAGTTTCATTGTCAAATTATTGGAGGGAAAGGTTCAGATTTGGAGAGCCCTCTTCCTTTTGTTGTTGCCGTGGCTAAATGTAATGCATTTATTTATTATTCAGCAAAATCTATAGCAGAGTCTTTTTGAATATTAGCTTACAGAGAATTAAAAGTATGAGGGACTTGCAGAAATCTCAATTTCTTTTTTTGTAAGCATCAGAAGGTACTTGAAAGATGTGAACAGATAAATTAGGGCTAAAAAGAAAACAGAAATGGCTACATTTTAAACTGCCTTTCTACCCTCAGTATTTAATTAGATCAATTGTATAGAGGAATGAACAGAGGTGACATTCCTCATTGGGATTCCTTCCAGGACTCTTATAGACTTTGCATTCAGAATGTTCCCATTTTCATTGTGTTGTACTGATGATAATTTAAGTATTAGGGGAAAATCCATTTATAAATTAAACAAAATGACTTGATATCCATCAGTCCCCTAGTTCATCAAGCTGTTCAAACACGGGGAAGATTGGCTGGTCGGCCTGGGTCTTCCGAGAGCGCTGGTAATTAGATCTGCGAAGGATTTATTCTTTGCTGATTGGGGCTTTAAATTAATTGAAGTTCCACATTTGTGGTTTTGTCCTTTTTGTACTTTTTTAGAGGAGATATTTCATATTCTTGTGTGGTGGAGTGCTTGGCCAAGCAGCACTGGTTTAAATGTTAATTTTTCTCATGAGAAGTTTAAGATTTTTAATGAATCAAGGCCTGATTTGAAGTGCAAAGTTTTATTTGCTTATTTAAGAAATTATTTTTGCACTCTAAAGATGCTTGACTTTATTTGATATGCTGTTTTAAAACAGATTCACAACACAAAAGCATTTTTATAGAAATAAAAACAGGGGGGGAAAGCTCTAAAGATTACCACTAAAATAACTCTACATACTTTTAAGGAAATACTTTAATTTGACCTGCTTATAAATAATCACAGCGTGTTTGCTCACACAGAAGGGAAAAAACATAGTTGTCCTTTTTTGGAAAATAATTAAAAGCTCTAAAGATTACCACTAAAATAATTCTACATACTTCTAAGGAAACACTTTAATTTGACCTGCTTATAAATAATCACAGCATGTTTGCTCACACAGGGAAAAAACATAGTTGTCCTTTTTTGGAAAATAATTTAATTCCATCTAAAACCAATCCATGTTTCCTCGTTTAGGTCACCTGCAGCTTGTAGGGCAGTATCTGTCCACAAGTGAGCATCCTTCTCCAGTGAGCACCACGCCTGAGAAAGAGAGTAGTTAAGACTGCTCTTTATTACTTACAAATGAAAATTTTGTTGGGGGGTGTGGTCATATATTCTTATAGCATTGCTCACTGACTTTACTGAATAGATGTGTCCGTGAGATCATGGGAACTGCTTTTTCAGTCATTAGGATGTTCACATCTGGGCTGATGGAGAAGCAGCACAAGCACATAGTTGTCTATTCCTTCATGTCGACTGGGACAGGGGAGCCTGGGCTGCTCAGGATAATCACTCAGTGTGTAAGATTTGAAGTTTATAAATCTTCATGTGAACTAAAGCCTGAGCAATGTGGACTTTGTTTCCCTGAATCACAAACTATCAGTTTAAGTAGGATTGTCAACAATCCTTTAATCTGACCTCCAACCTACGGAGCCATCCCTTTATAGCAAAACCAACAGGTAACCTTCCAGTCTCTGCTGGAACTTGCTCCTGATGGGAAGCTAAGTGGGTACTAGGCTACCCACTCCTTTGGGGAGCAGCTCCAATAGAAATTATCCCTAACATGGAGCTGAAGTCTACGTTGCTGTAGCTTCTCCCTCTGATCCAAGGTCTACTCTCCGAGACCACATTTCAGATTTACTCCTTTCTGCCCATCATAACCTCTCAAATATATGAAATCACTTACACCAAATGCCCCTTCCTCCTGCCTGCCTTCCTTTCCAGGTCCAACCGCCTAATTCCACAGCCATGATGCATGTTCCTAAGACTCTCGCCACCCTAGTCACCCTTCCCTGGCTGTGCTTCAGTTTGCAGTGACCCTAGAAAAATATGAATGTAGGAACTGAGTGTGGCCCTCGAGATGTATTCTGATGAGTACAAAGCAGAGGGACTTTGGCCTTTCTCCGTTCGGGCTGCTGTACTTCTGTTAACACCACCTATGGTGGAACTAGGTCTTCTTAGTAGCCCACTTACACTGCTGATTCACACCGAGCTTGATGTCGCCACAATCACAAACACGTTAAGGGTGACTGTCACTCGGAAAAGACTTTGATCGGGAGGAAAATATCCACAGCCTGTAAACCAGTTCTGCTCCACAATCACAAACACGTTAAGGGTGACTGTCACTTGGAAAAGACGGGAGGAAAATATCCACAGCCTGTAAACCAGTTCTGCTAGGATATCCTAAGCTGGAGTCCAAATCACACCGATTTAAGGTTGCACATAGAGCTCGGCTAGACCCAGGCCTTCTCTGAAGCACAGTTGGCAGAAAGCAACTCTAGGTGCACTCGGAGCCCTCAGTCCTCACCGGGCATCTTTTCATTCTGGGTTTTAGAGTAGCATATCCCCCTTAAGGTTGTGCTGTCATTTAACAGTTGAGGTGTGATTGAGAAGTAACTTGGGTTTCTTTCCCCTGCTTTCTTGAGCCAAGCTAACTAGTAAAATCAAAAACTCTGCTTTCTAAGCACACTCCTTAACCACCTGGGCTCATTAGCGACAGTCGCGTAAGAAGGTTTCTCTCCCTTGATGGCGAGTGTCTCTCCTGCCATTAGAGAAGGGTAAACGCACTTTGCTTTCAAAGTCTGCAGTGTGGGTTCTTTTCAGTCTTTGGCTTGAAAAGGCAATTAGACTGACTGCTCAAATACTGAGAAGCGGGGTGGGGAGCTCCCTTTAACTGGATATCCTCACTAATGCAGATCATTGCTCCAAGGGAATTACTTTAAAAGTTCATGTCAGGCACTACATCCCAAAGCTGCTTATGTTTCTTAAAAGCTGGAAGAATTTTAACAAGATTTCCTAATTCCTAATAACTCGGAGGAACATTTTTGAAGAGTGTTCTTCGTTGCATCATAATCTTTTAAACTCTGGTAAAACACAGATTCTTTGTGAAATAATAGTGTAATGTGGTTGGAAAGGGATATCAATATGTGATGATTATGAAAATGAGGGGACTGGTAGGTAGGAAAATTTTCAGAAGCCCTGATGTGTTCACTGTAGCATTACTAAATGACTGAAATCTAAACAACATTTGGCATAATAATAAAAGGAAGCGAGTGACTAAACCGGCCTAAGAGGCATGATACTGTGCCATGATCGGAATTCCTTTTCTTTGAACTGCCAGTCCTTTGATTGCCTTGTCTTTAACCAGCCTCAAGATAATGAGAGAGCCCTAGCTGGTTTGGCTCAGTGGATAGAGCATTGGCCTGTGGACTGAATGGTCCCAGGTTTGATTCCGATCAAGGGCATATACCTTGGTTGCGGGCACATCCCCAGTAGGGAATGTGCAGGAGGCAGCTGAATTGATGTTTCTCTCTCATCAATGTTTCCAACTCTCTATCCCTCTCCCTTTCTCTCTGTAAAAAAATCAATAAAATATATATTTTTAAAAAAAGATAATGAGAGAGGGAAAAAAATCTGTAGACTGGACAGCAAACCCAGATAAATATTTTATATGTATGCACATTTCTTAATAGTTTAGTAATATCTTTCTTTTGGGGAACTCTTGAGGCAGGTGTAAGAAAAATAAATAGGCGGCCGTATTGAAAGTGAAAGGGTTCCGGTGTGCCTGTCCGGAGCTGCCCCAGTGCCTTGGAGGAGACTGCTGTGTGCTGTCCCCCAGGCTCCTGCCCGCCGAGGAGCACAGAGCCTCCGGGCATGATGTCTGCGTGGGTCATTTTCTTTTTGTGGATCTGCGTGACTCTTTTCCTCACTCTTAATGATTCTGTAATCTTGGGATTATGAGTGCTACCCTCTTACTAAATTTCAATGCTGTATCTTTTAAACACTTAATAAGCAGAAAAGCAGCTCTTTTAAGAAATCCTAGAGCAGTGGTTCTCAACCTTCCTAATGCTGCGACCCTTAAATACAGTTCCTCATGTTGTGGTGACCCCCAACCATAAAATTATTTTTGTTGCTACTTCATAACTGTAATGTTGCTACTGTTATGAATCGTAATGTAAATATCTGATATGCAGGATGTATTTAGGCGACCCCTGTGAAAGGGTCGTTCGACCCCCAAAGGGGTCTCGACCCACAGGTTGAGAACTGCTGTCCTAGAGGAACTTTGAAAATCTCCCTGTTTTAGCAGCAAAGAGTAATATTCCTTAGGTTAGGTCATAACATTTTTGTTGGTTTTACGCCTTCCTCCTTACTAAAACAGGTTGGTTTTTCTCTAATTATAAAATTAATTCAATTTGTTATAAAAAGTCCAGAAATACAGGAAACAAAAAGCAACCAACATGACATGACCCCCAAATAACCCCGTGTATGTACTCTATATCCATCCTTCCAGGTTTGTTTCTACTCCTATACACATATACAGTCATGTGGTGGGGTTCCTTTGTTTGCTTAAATAACATAACATACGAGTACATGCTCTGGTAGCCTGCTTTTTCACTTTCCCTGTCATGTTTCTCACTATAACATAAAATTTCCTCTCTGTCTCCAGTGGTTTGTTTCCCACCAGCTAACAATCAGTTCCCAGCTATAGGACCACTGTCAGGAGTCACGTGCCTGGGTCCTGCTTTGGAGGGAA